TCAGAGCTGTTCGAGGGTGGGGGAGCAGGTAGGATGGGAGGAGGATTTCTAGAAGGCAGCTGGAGGGGCAGGCGGAGGCCCTGCAGGGTTTTCGGTTGGATGGGGATGGGTCCGTTGCCATGGCCTGATTTTTCTGCACCGAGAGAGGTCTTCTGCAGAGGCTGCACCACCAGTGTCTGAGCATTGACTGCTGGTTTGATGGTCGCCGTGCCAACCGGGTACCCATGGGGCTGAGATGCTGCATTGGACGTTAGGACCAGGGTGTGCGCTGCCGTGGGAGCTGTTGTTCCTGTGGCGAGGGTCCGAGTTCCATGAAGCAAGAGCTGGGAGAGAGGGATGGAGGAGGTGGAGGATGAGGAAGAGGAGGAAGCACCAGAGGAGGACGAGGGGTGGGCTTTGAGGTTGGTGGGCTGAGGGTAGGTGGGGATTTTGATGTGGGGGAGCTGGGGATGAGGCTGGCTGGGCTTAGTGGGGGACTGAGGCGTTGACTGGTGGGGGGGCTGGACCAGGGAGTAGGCAGCTGGAAACAAAAGAAACAAGTTACTGTTACACACGACCAGGCCAACAGCTGTAAACCTGTCATATCATTGCCCACCTTTTGAGGTGGCGTGGCTGACTTGTTCAACTCACACATTGAACAGACATGAAGCAACGTTAGCATTTAATCTGAAGTTCACTCTTCTTTCTTAGCATTTAATCTGAAGTTCACTCTTCCTTAAGATTAGCTTGGTCTCCACCAATCTTGAGGGAAATACCTGGTGTTTTAGTTGCTAATGTTCCACTGTGCACACCCACAGGTCTTTAACTGTATGTGCACGGGTTTTCCCTAAAAACAGCCTTGCGTTGTGTCTGAAAATGACACTAATGAAAGGAGTGGGAATGAACCCAACAGTAAAGCTGCAGCACAGAAAACCACAACACGAGGGTGAAAGCTGCAGAGACACTGCTGAGCGACGAGGGAGTTGCAGAATCAAGTGATAAATCTTTGTGGGTTTATCAATACAAGTGACTCCTTTCACATACACATCCATTTTACCCACAGTTGCTGACTAATGATGATGAATAGGTGTTAGTAAGAGGCTACAGAGGTGCTAGCCATGTGTTTTATACTAACGTTGGCATGTGACAACATTGAACTAAAGTGGTGAAATGACCTGATAAACATGTTAACAGGAGCATAAATGTGTAGTCGAGCTGGTCTGCCTTCTGCGCTACCTGAGTCACTCCTCTCTGGGGTCTCGGTCTTAACACCCACACCTTTGGGACTGGTCACACCTCGCATGGCTAAATTCTGCACCTGGAGTGTGGGATAAAGATAAAGGTCTGTGAGAACAGTGATCAGGGAAGTAATCAATGCAGTGCCAAGAAACCTGAACACAACATTAGCATTCATTCATTCCACAAACCTGGTCAGTATCTGATTGGCTGCTGGTGGAGGAAGTTGCTGTCACCTCTTGTTGCTGCTGCTGAGCCTGTGGCTGCTGGGTGACAGTTGCCACGGCAGCAGTTGCCGTGCTGCCGGGCATGAAGATCAGTTGTGAGGAGATGGGGGCTCTGAGGGAGCGGTTGACCTGCAGGAGGACGGGACATTCATCACAGATACTGGGACGACACTGATCTCAGGTATAAGCTGGGTATCATCCTGTCAGTATGACCCTGACAGAGGACATGACACGACTTAAACTGCTAATAAAAAGAATGAAACATCCTCGTCCTGCTTCATAACCGCTGTACTGTATATTGCTAAATATATTTATAAGAAGTCAGAAAAATACTGATAACAATACAGTCAAAGTTATCAAGTGTCATGAAACTCACCCTCAAGTACATCTGCCCCTGCCCCCCCGCCGTCCCACTCAGTAGCACCGACTGGCTGATTGTGGATGTTGCCGAGGCGCCCATAGGACGACTGCTGGTTGTGGACCCTGCTCCAGATGTTGCACTGGCCTGAAGAAAAATATGTGCAATTTATTTAATACTTCTGATGCTGAACTTGGAGAAAATGCTACAAAATGAAATAGTGGTGTTGGTTTTTGTGTGAAAAGCACAACAGAAAACAGCACATACAGCTGTGGTGCTGGTGGTCTGAGACGAGCTGCTGCTGGACGGACTTGACTGACGAGTGGCAGCTAGAGTAGCCTGGGGGGAAGTGAGAGGAGGTGAGGTGAAGAGAGTCTATGGTTTCAATGAGCTTAGTCCAAAATCAACAGTGAGATGTCTGCAAAGGGTCATGTGGTTACAAAACCCAGCTTTCTGCATATTTCAGCCAACCAATCGTAGCATCTACTCTGAGTATGGTTTCCACATCTTTATCTGGTGCTTTTTAGTTTACTCTTGTGTGCAGGGCTGCTGGCTGAGGCTGGTGTGTTCTGTGATTCATCCTAGTCATTTATTTAGCTTCCATATTTTTACTGTCCTTTATTGAGTTGGCAGTTACAGTATGAATAGATCAACTTAACAACACTCTCAGGCACTGCTTTTATGAATGCCCATAAAATACACACACCTTTACCTGCTGCACGGCGGCCAGGTTCTGCAACTGGGCATTGTTGATCTGCTGCTGCAGCATCAGCTGTTGGAAGTACTGAGCTGCATTAGGCTGCCTCTGTAGGGCCTGCAGGGCCTGGAGGGAGGAGGACAGGAGAACAGTGAGGGGCCGGTGAAGAGAGAGGGTTAGAGAAAAGCATTAGCAAGAGAATACAGAGGAAGAGGAAGGACAGAGGAAGCAAGAAGGATGTAGTGAAAGAAGATGAAAGAGGCCGGTCAGGAGAGGGAAAAGATGACACAAAATGGAAGACATGGAGGGAAAAGGAAGAAAAGCACCATGACAAATGAGAGAACAGAGGGCAGAGAGAGCACGGAGGGGGGACGCTGTAGCGGGGCTGAAAGCCTCCTGATGTGTATGAGCTCAGGCTCATACAGTAATAAGTTGCAGAATGAAAGCGAGCGTGGCGGCCTGGCTTAGTGTGTGCAGGGTGACAGAGACAGATGGCTGCGCAGGGTGACAGAAGACTGGGAAAATTACACGCCGACTACATCAAACCATCTCTCTCCCCCTCCCTGATGCAGCCACTCTCCATCTCCTTGTCTGGTCCGCTCACACACCGAACATTATAACGACAACCAGCTGCATTTTTCTAGTCTTGCTTAGACACAAACAAGCTGTGTTGCTGGTTTTGTCATGTGACGCTCCTGTTTTCTAGCAGGTTTGTAACTCAGCACTCAGTAAAATAGTGCAAAGGTAAAATGAAACGCCATATAAAAATGAATACGCTAATTTCATGTGGGCATTTTCTCACTAACCTGCTAACAACAGACTTATAGCTTTTGGCTGACACCTGTTATTGTTTTACCAGTTTTTTTCATCATTGTGAGCAGCCAAACGTTTCCAGGAGCTTCACCTTTTAAATCTAGATCCGAATCACATGGTTCTGTGTCACCTGATCCCCACACAGGCAGCCTACCTGTCGGACACACCAACTGGACCGTAATCTGTCACAAATGGTTTGATAGCAAAATGTTCACACATTTTGAGATGATGCATCAGTCTGGACAGGACCAATTCCTGTAAACAAACACACACACACACACCTACCTGCACCGCCTGCCTTTCATACAGAGACATGGAATTCATCGGAGAGGGGCGAGAGCCGGTCCCGGACACAGCGCTCCCATTGGTCGAGGCGCCCTGCTGGTTCTGCTCTCCATCCGTCTCCATGGTTCCTGAGGAGACAGGGGAGCGCTCCATCAGTCACACTGTGTCTCTAGCCCGGTGAAACCCACCCGTCACTGTCCCTGACAAAGGCTGACACGCTGAGTGAAAGTGAGGCGATAAGTCACTGAGAGCCTGACGGCAGCTCTGACTGATGCAGCCCTGGCCGCACGGATGTGAGTAACTTCAGCCTGACACTGATGATGACTGATGTTTTCTGTTAACATCTTTAAATGTGGCCATTTTTTGGCTGCACATCAAAACAACTCAGAGCTTCACAAACACCTGCATTCCTGTGCAAAAGCATGAAACAGCTACAGAAATGCCTACTACACTTGTTCACGGGAAATAAAAGGGTTTTATAAGAACGAAGTCAATTATGTGCAAATGATATGTAAAACATCTTTTCAGCATTTCTAAAGTTTCATTTACAAATGTGCACGGCAGTTTGTTATATAAACAAAGCACTAAAACACCAGGCATCCCCATCATCAACATTCATTTGTGAATCACAGCCCCACTAAGTGTCACCAACACAATCCGGTTCCACCCTGTTTAACGTGAGGAGCTGATGCTCAGACGTGAGGATAAACTGACAATCTCACTGACACAACAAGACATTTGGAGACACCTTGACTCTGGAAAGTCACAATGGGCATTTAGCAGACTGGGAATAACAACATAAATAATCAGTTGATTAATCAGCAGTTTGTATTCATCTGTATATAAATGTAGAGATATCTGAACTACCTCAAACATGCTGCATCGTTGGTGTTTTTGGCTGACACTTATCTTTCTAACAGCACATGAACAGACCACAGCACAGTAGCACAGATCACAGCAGACTGTAAAACTTATTACAACCAGGAGTTTTAAAAAGAGCAAATGATAAATGTATAGAAATCTTTTTGGATGTGAGGAGAGCTCTACATGCTCCGTACATCTCAACAAACATGTGCAGCTGGTCCACTACTCTTTCCTTTTTAAACTCTCTTCTTTTTTCATCAAATCAGTCTCCAACCTTGGTCCGGATCTGGTCCAGAAGGTGGGTAGGCCCTTCACACTGTTTAAACTCTGCTCTTCAAAAACTATTTGCTTTTACATGTTCAGAAGTGGTTCTGGTCAGACAACCTCTGCACTAGGTCTGCTGTGGATTTACAACATTTTCAGCCCTGCAGAGTGTTTATTACCCCCATCCTCCTCCTCACACATGCACACACATGCACACGGTCATTCTGCAGGCTGCAGGCTCCACAACCTGAAAGAAGCAACAATCTGTGCAACACACACAGCTATCGTTAGCTAGCTCCCCTCCATGTCTCACACCAGTTCACACCGGATCCACCGGGGCTACTGCTCCTAGCATCCCGTTAGCCGCCGTGGTGTCCGCCTCGTTAACGGGACTCTCGGTCCGCGCTTACCGTCACCGGTCCGGGTGTCCAGCCTCCTCCTGCACCGGCTACCGGCTGGAAAACGACTGCGAAGAACCAAACTGTCTCCGGAGCTTTTTATCTGCGTGATTCGTTGTTGCAGTTTTCTGTTTCTTTGCAGGACAGCAACAGCAGCGGTTTTACTGTTTTGCATAAATTTGCAGCTGATGTGTTGTTGGAGGGCAACGCCTCCTTTTTCCGCTGCTCGGCCTTTTCCGGCGCAACGGAATGACGGAGCAGCAGGCCGGGCAGAGGGGGCCACTGCCCCCCACCCCGGGTTCACTTCCCGCCTCCGCCTGCACCGGCTACCGGCTGGAAAACGACTGCGAAGAACCAAACTGTCTCCGGAGCTTTTTATCTGCGTGATTCGTTGTTGCAGTTTTCTGTTTCTTTGCAGGACAGCAACAGCAGCGGTTTTACTGTTTTGCATAAATTTGCAGCTGATGTGTTGTTGGAGGGCAACGCCTCCTTTTTCCGCTGCTCGGCCTTTTCCGGCGCAACGGAATGACGGAGCAGCAGGCCGGGCAGAGGGGGCCACTGCCCCCCACCCCGGGTTCACAGGAACAGGCACGACGCTTTGAGCCGTGTTGCATTTACAGCAGCTTATCTATCTGTCTATCTATTTAGCTTATCTATCTGTCTGTGCATTTGCTGTGTTCACTTGCACTCAAGTTGGACAGAGAGCCCATGTCCAGTTTTATTAACAGGAAAATGGTGCAGACTGTGTTTAGCCACCACTTTCAAATAAGTCACTGTTTTTAACAGGTTAGAGGTTGTAACTAATGGTTTCATCATTAAAACTTTCATCCATTTGACTTTTTAAACATGTATCTGAGTGTCCAGTGTTAGTAAGTTTATGTTATTACCACCTAGAAAGGATTTTCTACAGCCTGACAAGCCACAAAGCATTCTTAATTATATGGCCTATAACTACAGATACAGTAGGAATAAATAGACCCTTTGTGAAAGAAATGTTATTGGAACTCCTTACACTGATTTTCCATCTACATGATGAATATTTTATTTATCATCATTCTATCTGGTATGTACAGTACAAACACAAGTGAAGCTAAAACAGCTGGGGATGCTCCAGTGGTGTGGAACATTAACAAGGCCGTGTTAAATAGCATGAACAGTCAGAATTGAGGTCATCTGTTCAAGCATTTCTGTCACATCAGAGAGGCCGAATTTGTAGTTAGTCTCCTGGAAACTCACAAACATTGGCATCAAAGATCCTGGAATATCATTTTATTTTGTGTTGACTTATACAGTAGCAAAGCATACAGACAATGGTTGCATGTGAGTTGACAATCACTCCAGTCACTGCTGATATAACATTTACACACTCACGCTCTCATGTCACTACAATCCAGTGCTGTCAAAGCAACCTGTGGAATGACTGAGCGAATGAGGGATCTCACATACAGAAGCAAAGGGAAGCTTTCTCACACATACACATTGAATAACAGCAGAGAGGTACAAATATCAGACGTGAATATCTATTTAAACAGCAATAACACACATCAGGAGTGAACAAACAAAATAAAGGAGACAGATGAGATGGTTTTTTGGGGGTTAGATACAAATCTGTGACACCACATGGCTGATTCCTGAACCTCTGAGACATTTGACTGAAGTATACATACTGTATTTGTATTTGACTTGAGTCTGAACTTAATCCCCTCACCCACTGCTCCCTATGTGGTCATTTTCCATCCTCACTAACACCTGCAGAGCCATTCAGTCTCTAAACCATGGAGCACTGAATTGTGAAACTGTTTCAATGCCATGGACACTACTTTTTATGGACATGGACACAGCGGATAGATTTACACACTTAACAGTTGGACACCAATACAAAATGGTGAACACACTACAGTATATAGTGATCAATTTCAGACGCAGCTGCATCGTGTTCGTAACGGTTACTGAATGCCTCATTGGGTTAAAGTTGCCAAAAAAATTAGCTTTCAAAACAATTTTTGGAATTTTCTGTTGCTACTTGACTCAAAAGTAACTGCCTTTTTTTGGCAACAGTCACTAAGATTTTATACACAAAACAACAACTATATGGCGGCCGAACGCCTGACACAACTCCACTACTGTCAGTGACTCTGAGTGTATGCGGCTCTGTATGACTGACCGACACACAGGAGGAGCAAAACATAATAATTTAAAGAGTAGTGTGGAGAGAGAGAGACTGTGAAGCCTGCTCGGTGTGCATCCCCCCCAAAAAACCCATAGACAAGTGTGACTGTGCACGTAACATACAGTATAAATAGTACTCTATAAAATATACATATTTACAAATGAATACTCCCCTGTCTGTGTACAGTGAGTGGAGGGTTGGAGAACGGAGCTGGATATGGTTGGGGGCAGTGTGCACACAGGTCCTCATATTAGTTTTAAACCCTTTCACATACTTCTGTGACATGCTGCAGTCAGATACATGTCACACCAAACAATTGGTTCAGTAAAACACAATCAAAGTTCTGGATTTGTTTTGGTAACATTTCCTGGAAGTTTCCTGGAAAGACTCGTATAATCTGGTACTAATTATAGATAAAATTTGAGATTGATTAGGTGGCACTAACGCAAACTTGAAGCTTTTACAAGTGAACCACACATGCAAAGTGTAAATCTTTCTACAATCAACCATACAATTCAAAGTAAATGAAGAATAACACTTTAATTACTAAATAAATAAACAGTATTTATTAACTGGGGTTTAAAGTGAAGAATTTCTTTCATAAAAATTCACTTGCAAGGAAACAAGCGCATTACAACAGATTTTTGTCTCTATTTTTCTGTAATTATTAACAAACTACGTGGTTCTTTCCAGAAGAGTTTCAAAAAATGATTAGGAAATAGACTAGTAAAATAAAGCATTGCCTTTGTTTTGACTCATCCAATTGGCACGTTGCTAATCTCTATTGAATAACAAGGGTGCTGGTTTCATTTGGAATCCCTCACACACGTGTAAAAGGGCAGTTTTAGCTCCAAACACATCATATTAGAATTTCCAGCACAGTGTGAACCAAAGAAAGTTGTGACTAGAATCGGCCACAATCCTGCATCTTAAACTTGTGCCCTGGTCATATTTAAAGCAACAGCTTCCTGTACTTTAATCTCTGATGTTAACATGTTTCTTTTTGCACATTCTCCTCTGAGATCCCTTCATTTCACCTCAGGAAAAAAAAAGATGGATGAAGCACCTGAAACTGTGATCTCACAAAAATGAAAACTGGACAGGGCAAAGCTGAGCAACAGAAAGTACTTTAAATCCTTATCAGACTCATGTTTGGTAAAGTTCAGTGCGTTATTGACGGAGAAGGGAGGGTGGGTGTAGCCACAGACAGAAGCAGGAGAGAGGCTGAATACAACACTGAACACTACCACACACCTCCCCCAGTACAAACACAATACAACACTATCATCCACAAATACAGCACTACACAACAACAGCTACAGCTCTGAGCATATTCACTCCTCTCACTGTAAGAAATATTCATCTAAACAAGCCCTTTCACATCACGTCTCACGTGCCACTCAATTGAAACAAGTAACAAATGTCAGCAGAATGACATATTCCTGTGTTTTCAGTCAGTACAAGGCAGGTATCCCTCAAATCAAATCTTGCAATTCAGAATAAGTGACTTAAATTACTTGTAAAGATAAATATTTTTCCAGTGTAGCCAAAAATAAATAATAAATAAATAAATAAATAAATATGTTCTCAGTCGGTCAAAATAGCATTTTAAACTACAATATTTAACATAGTTACGACAGAATACAGAAAATATACTTTGTGCCATACACTTAAACACCACACATACTGTACAATGTTGGTAATACATAAATCTATAAAGGTTGACAATGCTGACTTTTCAGACAAAGCATCATGAAGCAGACAGCGTCTGGAGCTGACTATTAAAGCCAGAAACACACGGGAAGCGTCTGATTTTGAGTCAAGCTTCTGTGGAATATGAAGTAAGAAGTTTTTTTTTTTGTTTGTTTCTGTGTTGGAATCTGTGGTTTGCTCCAGTCAGCCATTATAGGACCCTTTTAGATCTCATTATACCACTGAGCATTTGAACAGAAGGACAGCTGACTGTTTAGGAGGCTAATACCAAGATGTGTCAAGTCACATTCAGTGTGTTTGGGCTTTAAAAGTCACGCAACTAATTTTTCAAGCATTTAAACACATTCTTCATGTTAGATGGCAACAACATGGGATGTTCTGAAACACAAGGATCAAGTCAGTACATCTGAGATTCACTCTCAGATGTCAGCATCACCATACACAGCTTAAAGCTGCATTAACTAAGACTTAGCACAAATTCTGTGGCCAATGTTGCTAAAATCTGCACAGCTCTTCTTCCATGTCGTTAGCATTTCAGTTTTGTACCTTTGTACTGAATTATTCTGGTTGTAATTTGGATTCATTCTAACTAATGATTTGTTGTCCAATTAGCGGAAACCAACCCATTTTCCTGGATTAGCAAATGAAATAACTTTGCTAATTTTTGCTCAGTGTTGGTCCAGTTTATATCAGACATAACACTGCAGTCCATGTAGCATTTTAATGAGACGTTAAAATTTACCCTATCAACACATATAACTCACGGTCACCTTATAACGCTATGCGTGTCAAGTATGTAACACTGAATGTGATGCGATAGCAGCCGGAACATTATTACTGTATCAACATTACTGGGGAAAACATTCCTCTGTATAATTAGCTTGTCTTACTGCAAACAACGCTAGACATATGTATATCACTAAAATGTAAACCTCTACATTTGACATTGTGTCACTGCAGTGCCACTGTGAGGCTCTATGGGCTCTATACTCTGTATACATTAGTTCTGGAGCTGGTTATTACTGCTGCGCTACCTGGTTGCCACAACTGTCTCCGGCTGTCGTGACCACTTATGATGTAAGCTGAAAAAACTTCTGGACTAGATTTCTAAGACAAAGACGTTTCACCTCTCATCCAAGAGGCTTCATCAGTTCTGACTGACTGCTGTTGAGCCGGAAATATTTCTAAGTTTTTTCAGCTTACTATGACCTGGATGACTGAGAATGTGTACAGACACATATGATGTAGTTTCAGAGATGGGGAAGGAGGGGGGAAGAGTAACGGAGGGAGAAGGGGAGGGGACTCTGCTTGAGTTTGTTTTGACTCTCACTTTGCCCTTAATGGTAAAAAAATTAAAGGGAGAAGTTAGTTAATGCAGCTTTAATTCACTGGGTAGAATAAGAAATCATGGTTACTTAGTCTGTAACCTGTGTTTCTGTAGTGAGCGCTGGAAAAAACACCACAGTTTCTGAAAGCACAATATTTCACACTTAGCCATCAGACAAAGCTAAGTAAATAGATAGATGTTTTGTCAAATAATTAATAAAAATAAATCTCTAATTCATAAACAGCCATCACATAAATAGATTTTGTAGCTAGCTTCTCTGGACAGGTATAGTTTGCTTATCATTCATTTGTTGCCACGTGTACAGTAATTATATCTTATCATCTCTTAGGTTTGGTCTTTTATGTTAAGCTAACATTAGTTAAGTTCCACTGCATGGTGCAGTGTAGCTCTACCAGAGTGGTCCTGCATCCAGATGTTCTTTGGAGAACTAAAATGTAAACGTGTTAACTACAAAAGCCATTTAAAAGTATCATATGATTTTTATCTGAACAACCACATCAACTTCCTGACTTTTAAAGCTACCATAAATTAATGTCAAAACAAAAGTTAAAAATAGCAGGACTTATACTCTTGGTTTGATTTCATATATAAAACTCTCAGTACACATATATTTGCTTTCTCTTTTACATAAAGGTCAGTAGAAAAGAGGACATATAGTAGATATCCAAGGACTCTCTATACGGGTCTTCTACTGTTTTTTCCCGCTGAATAAATAAAGTTTGATGATGATGATGAAACATCATTTACCCATGGTTTATACAGTATATGCACTTCCCCTTTAGTCGCCTTTACTTATTATCAGCTCCTACACTGCTCAGGCTAAAGATTCTACATAGATTGCACATGCTATACAACTCTTATTCTGATATACACTCCAATAAATACAGCTCTGAATTATTAACTATTATTTGACGTAAAGCGCTGCTGTGCTCAATGACTCCTACATTAGTGACTGTGGCTCTATGATGGCTTTGCTGCTTATCAGGTTAACAAAGTGCATCTAAACATAAACATTTACACTGTTTCATTTTCTCTCTGTCTCTTCATATATAGTATCTCTGTGATGCAGGCAACGCTAACAACATAAACCTTTCTTACCCTGGGGCTAGTCTGGAACACATCATCATTCTAAATTTGCTTTGGTGCATTATAACAATATACTTTATACAAAAATCTATTTCTAAGGTAATAAATACTCTAAGTGGCCACTTCAACACAAACATATGCTTGCATGTTACCCTACTCTAAACTACATGTGTTAAACATTTCACTCAGACACAGGTCCACTGGTCCTTTGCCACTGTTGCATCTTGAAATATTTTTCCAAAAAAAACAACAACCTGCTAGTAAAGCAGTAATCCATATTTTATAATAAAATAACATCTATTTGCTTCCATATACTCACTGTTGAATGAATCACAAGAGAAGCTGGACTAATTCATGAAAGGTATTAAACAAAACTCTCTGCTGAACAGGTATTTAGCTTAGTTTGGAATAAATAGCACCAACTTCATCAATCACAAACCCAAGAACAAGAAGAACATCACAACAATGAGAGGTTATCACCAAGGGCAGCGCCGAACTCCAGCTAAACTGGTGGATTACAACTATAACCATCAGCGTGGCCTTCAGAATGACTGAACGTAGCACGGCCTGCAGCGTTAGGCAGTAAGACGTTGATAACGTATTATCCTGAATTTACCAACCACAGCAAACACAAGTCTCCACCAGGTGCTTATTAAAGTTCAGTACTTTGGCAGTTCGTAATCAACAACTGAAGGTAGAGCATGAATTTTAAAAAAAATCACTTCTTTGACCTGTGATTTGAGAACATGTCTGAAACATAACAGCTACGAAAAAAAACAACCTACAGCTACAAAGTTATATTGCACAACAATATCTACTTCAATGCCTGCCTAACCTTTAAAAACAGGACTATATAAATGTAATAGTATGTGCATCATTGCTGCCCAAGTCATCTCGCTCCCACTGCTTGAACCCTACATCTGAAAACACCTGCACAAAGGCTGCGTCCTTGTCAATACACTTTGCCTCCGGCCTTTAATGATGGACATTTCACCTTGGGCCTTTACCTGACACACACCATTTACACAGCTGGTGTAACTGTGTTGTCCTGACTCACTGTTTAATGAGTTTAGCTGAGCTTCTAGGAATGTACAGTAGGTTTAATCTGTAGTGTTGTACAGCGAATGCTTCACTGTCACTGCTGACAGAGGATTTAAAAGAAGGAAATGTAGGAAATGTCACAGAAACAGAAGAATTCCAAGGGATTACTGTCAAAAAGCACGGCCCTTTAAAGGCCAAAGCCTAAAACTGGAAAAGGCTGTTGTTCTGTATATGGGGATTATAAGATCAAATAGTTGCTACTGTTCCAAGTTGTTAAGAATGTACTGTACTGCTGAAACCTCTGTGATTCTTCCTTCATTTATAACCTCCGTCACCCAGTCAGACTGCAGCCACCGCTACTCTACACACCCTCCTGCACCGTTGAATTTGATTTGTCTTCCAGAGGTGTGGTTTCAGCTGCAGAAGACGATGGAGCTGATGCTGCCGCCGCCTCCACCAGAGGGACCTTCTCCTTTTCTGGTGAGGCAGGAAGCATCACGGCGGTGCTGGCGCTGGCAGGACCGTCATCAGCAGATGAGGAGGCAGCAGGCGGGGCGCTGCCGAAGCAGCGGGCGATCTCATCAAATGTCTTGCCCTTCGTCTCTGGGACTTTAATGAAGGTGAAGATGAAAAACATGATGAGAAAGGCAGTGAAGATGAGGAAGACCCATGGCCCACACAACTCCTGAGGAGACAGAGAACTGAGTCAGGATTTATTCAAACAACTGAGTTTTCATTGTCAGATGTAAATGAGTTTGGAAAGGCAGGAAAACGAAGGAGGAGAAGGGAGAAAATAAAAGTCAAGTGGTGGAAAATGAAATTAAGTCAAGCAGGTCACTGCACCCAAGTACAGTTCTATGGTACTTGTAGTTAGGCATATCCATGTTCTGCTAGTTCAACCACACAACATTTAAGACAATATTTATAAGATGATAAAACACAAACAGTCCTCATCGTTCGTGTCTTGACCACACCCATTGTTTACATCCTGGTGTGGGCAAGTAGGCTCTAACATGGAAAGACAGAAGACAATGAACCCCCCCCCTAACCTCTAGTTTGGGGAAGCTAATTCCAACCAGGAAGTTGGACGTCCAGTTGCAGCAGCCGGCCACAGCCATGGCTGCTGGACGGGGCCCCTGGGAGAACAGCTCAGCCACAATGAACCATGGGATTGGACCGGGGCCCAGCTCGAACATGGCCACAAACAGCATGATAGCCATGATGGCCACGTAGCTCATAGCGGTAATGTCTTTCTGCTCAGACAGAGGGCGAAACAGGAGAAGAACACATCAAATACTGACAAGAGGAATCATTTAAAGCATCTGCTTGTGAATACACAGTTCTTAATGAAACTATTCATGGCATTGACCTACTAACAGGCGAGGAAATCTGTTTGTTGTTCAGTCAGACCAAATGCAATTGTTGTGGTAATATGGTAAAAAAAAAGAGGTTTTTAATTATGTTTTTCTGAAGACAGCTATTCTAGCTGTGCGATTTGTGAATTGTAACACCACCCATGTGGTCTAAAGACTTGAGTGCCCCTGTGGATGCTTTTATATAGGTCAGACTAAAAGAAGACTGAGAGACAAAGTAGCTGAGCATTGCTATGCTATTCGTAGTGGGAGTACAATTTACCCCGTGGCCAGATGTTATTTAACAGCCCACCATGGGAGTGACTCTACACTGAGAGTCATAGAAGCCATAGTTTTGGACATCGGAGGGGGTGACAGAGTCAGAGAGCTTAAACAACGTGAGGTGTAGCAGTTCCCCAGCCTCAGAGCCACAAGTTATCCAGGCCCAAATGAAGAAATTGATCTCTCTCCTTCTTTAGAAGAGCTGTGGCATTGGTTTCAAAGCTGTATTCTGGTTTTCACCGTACTGTGATCTGATAATTAATGTTGTTTGTTGTGGTGACTGGTTTTAATGTCTCTTTTGTCATAGCTTCCTCTAGTGGCTTGATAAGTCTTTACATGCTTTCACTCAGCACAGGTGTGTAAAATTACTATTTCTTGGTCTGAAATCCTGACGAAGGCAAATGCGCTGATACACGCTGATGTATTTATTAATGTGTTAGCTCATGTCCATCAAAGGCATTTTATTATCAACCATCCATCCGATTTTCCAGCCTCTAACCTCATGGCTGGCACCACCTGCATTGTGCTTAACTCACCAGCAGGAGGGAGATGGTCATGATCAGAGCACTGACCGCCATTCCCCCTAGTCCCAGGAGGTGCAGAGTCCTTCGCCCTGCCTTCTCCACCAGGAAGAGCTGGAGGACAGAAACAACAGATACAGGGGGAAGTGATGTGCCGCTGAACGCATACAAACACATGCAGCAACAAAGACACTGATGCCACTCACCGAAACAACAGTGAAGATGGTGTTGACGATGCCGGCTCCGATGGTGGCGTAGATGGGCTGCTTTACACCGGCTGACTGAAAGATCCCTGTGGAGTAGTAGAACACCTGAGGGATGCAGAGAATGAGGAAAAGGAAAAACAAGTCATCAGTCATCAAAAATGTTATAATAATAAAAAGAAATAATCCCGAGTGAACATTCTATTTAATCTCTTTTATAAGGTGTTTCTATTATTTTGTCTAATCCTTTTATATTAACAAGGCTAGGCTAAATAAGAGAAACAGTTCTCTGTATAACACAGTAGAGTTAAACTGAATGTCATCACCCGCATGAAGGAGGATTTACTGCTGGATTAGACTGACCAGTGTGAGCCAAGTGTACCCAGTGCTTCAGCTGAATACAAACATGTTTTGGTTTTTACCGAACCCCCTCGTCCAGTCACACCAGGAGGCTGGAGATAACATTTGCTTCCTCAGCGACCCAGTTACGCAAAGAATTACCAAGTGACATTTTTCAGTCTCACTGAATCCATTATGTAATAGTGCTGACCTCTAAAAGCAGTCACTGGTTGTGTAGCTGGTAATCGAGGTGGGGTACTGGCTTCACTTTACTGGAGCCTGTAATTCAGTTTACACTTGGTGTACATGTATGTGGTTTCTAGAAAAGCACAGTAACAAAAATGAATATAATTTAGTACAATACAAATGCATTAGATATGCTGTTGCCATTCATTCTGACATGCAAGCTACACAATCACTGTACTTTTATTATGAAGACTTACTTTATTATAAGACTTCAGATATAAAACTTACTCATATATTAACTGACACCCATAATGCTTTGTCCTAATAGATCAACTGAACTCAAACTAACAGACAAACTGAATAAACCAGCTGGCACTCAGAGGGAGCTGGCCAGCTCCTGCTGCCCTGTACGAGGCCTGTGTGCTGACCAGTAAAACTGAGACCAGTTCTACTTTATTCTGTGTGAACTGAACCTCAGTCTCTCTCTACTCTGACTTATGACTCAGCTATACAGTCACATACTGAGCCATTTCTCACTGGAATAGCCTTCCTTTTAATATCTCTAAATCTAGGGGGAAAAATAAGAAGTGGCTGAAAATAGTCCTTCAAAATAAATAAACAAAAGAATATCCACTAGAATACATGTCTAACCTTTAGAATCAGTGTAAATGTAACAGAATGTGTATCATCACTATCCACGTCTCCCTCTCCGTGGACCTGAACTTCAATGTAACAAATTTTTTATTTGAGTGGTTAGTGTTGCATTTAGTTTTTAGATGTACAGTAACATGTTAATAGGTGAGATGGCTTCAACTGTAACCTGCACTGTATACAATGTGCACATTGATTATATTGTTGATAGATTTATAATAATAATTTATTATTTCTTTTATATATACAGATTACTACAGAAAGAGGTATTGTCACGGGAAAAGCTAAAGGGGATCCCAGCTAAGAGTAAATGTGTGTGTCCAATGGTTTGAGCACGGTTCTGCTGCCAGCCTGTGACTCACGGCGTTGATCCCTGACAGCTGCTGGGAGAGCTGCAGCATGACGGCGATGAGGAGAGGCTGTCGGTACTGCGGCGAACGGAAGAGCTCAGGGATGGTCACCTTCTTCTCCTTGGCCATCTTAGCGCCCTCCTCATTCATCTCCTGCAGGTCTTTACTCACATCCTCACTCCCACGCAGACGCACCAGCACTGTTGACACAGTGGAAATATTTTTTTTGCTTTGGTGCACAAAGATGAAAGCAGAGAAAGCTGCCGAGTCAAAGACCATGCGGTGGCACACATGTGATAAACAAGTGGAGAGTAGACAACAACAATAACTGAGACCAGAGAGTTAAAATGAGAAAACTGCGTTTAACAGCCTTCATCAGCGGATTAGATTTAGAAAGCTCAGGAGATCCCTAAGTTGGCATTGTCTGCTGTGTTTGTTGTTGTTTATGTCAGACAAGAGGTGTGAAGGGGAAGTGGGTCATAGTTGACCCTGCCAGGCTGCAGGCTGAACACACGTCAGAACCTTCTGTCTGGTTAAGGATTCTTCTCTTCAGGTGACAGCACCGCCCTGACTCAACTGGTCTCACCTCTTTGTATCGGTGACTGTTGATCTCTGCGTCACCATCAGAGCAGCAGTAACATTAACAGTAACTATACTATATATGGTAGCAGTAGTGCCAGCAATGAGTCTAATCAGAGCAGCAGTAACATTAACAGTAATTATACTATATATGGTAGCAGCAATGAGTCTAACGGTGATAGGAGTATAGTTGCGTTAATGGCAGATGTGTAGTAGCAGAACAGACATAATGGAGTGAAGCAGCAATATTGTCAGTAGAAGCAGTACTATTGTATGTAGAAGCTGTAATATCATGTGTGCAGGTGTAGTATGGGCAAGAGTATCAGACCTCTCACCAACAAAAGCAGCAGTATTGTAAGGAGCTGCAGCAGTACTGCACCAGTATCGGTGTGTACCTTTGCGTGCCTCCTCCTCCTGCTTGAGGTTAATAAGCAGGAAGCGGGGGCTCTCAGGACAGAAAGGCAGCAGAATGCATTGCAGCGCAGCAGGGGCCACAGTGAGGGCCAGCAGCAGGGGCCACATCTTGTCTGAGCCCAGCAGAGAATCCAGCCCAAAGACCTAAACACCAGAGGCCAAACCGCAGAGACAGACCCAGAAACTGATCAGGAACAATCCATTGACTGTCCAGAACTGAACTGTAGCTACCTGATATACATGCAGATTTCTAACTAGGCATTTGTGGCTGTTAGATGATTAACATCTGAGGCTTTCTGGAAAGCCCCCACTGACCTGAGCGATCAGGATGCCCACCACCACACCAAGCTGGTGCAGGGTGCCAAAGGCTCCTCGGAGGGGAGTGGGTGACACCTCCCCCACGTACATGGGAGTCAGGCCGGTAAAGAACCCGCAGAACAGGCCAATGACCAGACGGCCAGCAATCACCATCTCATAGGAGTAGCAGATGGTGGAGAAGCCCATGAGGAGGCCGCCGATCACTGCCAGAATGTTCACCAGGAACATGGAGCGACGCCTGGAGAAGAGCAAGGGGAGGGTCAGGGCCAAAGGGAGAAGATGAATCAAAACACCCAGAGGCTGTTTGTGCTTACTCAAGCTCTTTTAGAGTTTTCTGGCTTCATTAAGAGCATTTGATTCATTAACTACATTTATTTAAATGAACACTGCAACATTTTGAGACATGCACATTCACTCTCATTAGATGAGAGCACAAACAACTAGTTTATGCTAACTGGCATTAGAGTGGTAAGAGCATTTCCATCTCACTCTCAAAACAGAGAGGACTGTGGTTTGATGTGCAGGATAAGAATCAGGGACAAACAGAGCCAGGAAGGAAGAACTCTGGGGAACATTAGAGCCGAGCTGCGGGCTCAACAGACACACTTCAGCAACTCCATTAAGAGTAATTGCATGTGACTTCTCAGCGGAACCACAGTGGAAATGCACAGAACCATTAAAGGAAAAACAGTACAAATACTGAAGACTGACATTGAATATGTCCAAAATACAGATGTGAACAGACCTTCTTTCATCCACTCATGAGAGAAATGAAGGCTTGTGTTGTACAAGAGACCAAACTAATTTCACTTTCTACCTGCCAAATCGGTTGGCCATGACGCCCACACTGAAGGAGCCCACCATGCCGCCCACGCTAAAGATGGCGACAGCGACGCTCCAGACGATGGTGCAGACCCCCGGGCTGATGGGCTCGCCATAACGCTCCACCCAGGTGTTGTTGAAGAAAGATCGAAGTTTCTGAAGACACAGACAGAAGAAGGGAAGAGGAGAGAGGTCTTAGGTCTTAGTCACCTTCTTTCTAGAGCTAAGAAGTCTGATACCACTTTTATGCCTGAGGTAGGTTCAGAAGTAGGGCCAAAAGGTGATTATCTTAGCTTAACGTAAAGCTGAGGACAGGAGAGAACTCAATGAAATAGCTCCAGCATGTACTCCAAGTCTCGCTGCAACCTCAGTTTTTAAGTTTTACATTTGTTTTCTTTCTATTATGATGAGGTTATTTAAAGATGCCTCCTGCAGCCAGAAGGTCTCCAATCACACTGTGGTGATGCCGACTCATCACCAACCTGCTCTGGGGCATTGATGACTCCCGTGTTGTAACCAAACTGCAGAGAGCCGATGACAGCGGTGGCCAGAGAGAACAGGAGGTAACCTGTTACCTGCTTTTCCTGGAGAGAGACAAACAAAAGGAAAAGATGAGAGGAGGGGAAGAATGGAAAAAGTGCACGCAAAACGGAGAAGAATGTGGAAAGAGGGGTGGAGGATGGAGACCAAGAGAGGGACATAATAAATAAGAAATCTGAGCTCATAATGGGTTTTTCAATCACTGCAGCCGACAGACAGATGCAATAAAACTGTGATGCTGACGCCAGGCAGGTCAGCAGCGTAGTGACACAAACTCAGATAAACAGCGTTATCGGTATCAAACAGTGAACTACACATAAATACACCCCACATGTAGCCACACACACTTACTCGTCAAACGTATACTGAAATCCTTGTACCTGCTACTATTACAGCTCAGTGCTATTTTCTATAAATCACAGCCAGGTATACAAATAAACGTCATATAAAACCAAGATAAAACCTAAAAATCAAACTTGAATTGCACAAAACTCGGAGCCCAACATGTTGTTAATGTTTTTCTTCTGGAACATAATCAGATAAACACTGATGAAACTCCATAGTGAAGCAGTCCGCCTGCTCCTGCGTCTCCATAATCAAATCAGTGTTAATATTATAGGAGTTGTCACAGTCATTATGGTGACACCCAGCCCTCTCCACCCTCCAAAAGATACATTGATGTAGGAAAGAGTAAGTCAGCTGATTACACACTGACCTTAAATAAACACTTAAATAACACCTTAACTTATATCGAGACTAATAAAATCTTATATTTTAAAACAGCTTTATATGATCCCCTTATTCCTTTATTAATCTCATTTTTTGTCTTTTCAGAACAAACTTAAAACTGGAGAGGCATCTTCTAACGACAAGGCTATTAGTAGAAACACAGTTAGTTCGTACAGTCATCATGGGAGTGCAGACAGAAACCAGGGCCAATCTCTCAGCTCCCCCTTGAACATGACAACAGCTTAAAATAATATGATGGCGTCATCCCTGAGAGAAGGTGGGCTGATAAATTGGAAAATGAACATGAGGCAGGGCCTTCATGAAAAGAAAGTACATTTTACCTGCAGTTAGATTAAGGTAAGCTGAACAAATTTATGAATCCAAAGTGCCTTACAATTCGCACTCATGTCACAAACCATTCAATGAAGTGACCTTATCACCAGGAGATCAACATCTCACACAAAAGCCCTGTGATGAGTGTGATGAGTGCACAAAATTAATTCTACCTACGCTCTCCATTAGATGTGCTGAACAACACGACTCATCATGACCCTTTTTTACTGCAAGAACTATTGATTATCCACCGCTTCTTGTTTTCACGAGGCCAACTGTTCAGCTCAGTTCAGACAGCTTTATTTTTCCCATGAGGGTAATTTGGTTTTACAGGCTTACAACTTACTCAGCCAAACACAGACTCACATAGAAGCACACATTGCATTTAGCAGCCTGATCGCAGAAGGAATAAAAGATTTGCACTAGCAGTTTGTTTTGCTATGGGGTGTGTTGTAGCGCTGGCCAGAGGGTATTACAATGAATTCCCTGGACAGAACATGGTGAGAATGGATAACAGTTCCTTTTGCTCTCTGGACAACTCGTTCCTTCCAAAGGGAGCACAGGTCGCGCCGCTGAACTCCGATTATCTTGGAACGGACCTTAGCACTACAGTTGAGGCTCTTCCCGTCCTTCACAGATAACCCATTAAACCAGGGATGGCCAATCCTGGTCCACGAGGGTCGCTGCGCTGCTTGTTTTCCAACTATCCCTGCCCTGCACAGTGCTGTTTACCTGGATCAGGTGTGTTCAGTCAAGCAGAAGCTCTTCCAGAACTGCCCACCGCTGCATGAAACCATTTGAAAGTCAAATGATGTTTAACCACAGTTAGAGGCTGGGAGTGGTTTAGTTCCTCCAAAACAAAAGCTACTCAAGGTGTTATTCCATGAAAGATGGTACTATTTTTTTTTTTACATTTTCCATTCATTCCTCCATTTCCCATTCAGGGTCATGGGGGGTGCAGTCTTTCCTAGCAGGCAATGAGTGGGATGCTGCGTATGCTTGATTACTGGTCTGTAAGACAAACCTAGAACAGCAGCTATAAACATAGTTCCTTCACAAACATTAGAGGTCAGTAAAGTCTGTCAAACCTCCTGATTGATCCCACATTACAGATTCAGTTCACGCTGGGTCAGAGCTGTAGAAATTAGGCCACTGTGTCTTTGTGCTATTGTCAGTAATTCAGCACACAGTCAGTAATACCCAAAGAGATGCACTGCCGATGGAGCGGAACGTGTTGCTGTTATTTGAGACAGTTCAGAGACCTGGCCCGGCCTCATGATCCGCTGCCCTTGGCACAGCAATATCAAAGCGAGGGCAGACGATATGAGCACAGACAGCTCCTCTCAGGATACACTTTATCCAGATGGGCGTAGGCTGCACAGGACCAATCAGAGGCGAAGGACAAACTGATCCAGGAAATGATGTGAAGGTCAAAGTGAAATGATTATTAACCTGCCGAGAAGCTCAGGAAGAGTTTCTTTCACATCTTACATCTTGACATTTAGCTGATGGACTGATTAAATTTTCATTATACGGCTGTTTTAGCCTTGGGTTATTAACTCTGTAGAGCACTTTCCCAGCCAGTAAAAACACACAAAATGTATGCAGCCATTAAAAATGCACTACAATTGTTCACCAGTCTCTTATTCAGGCAGATTAGTTCAGTCCTGTTCACACCTGACAGAGAAGCTGTGGTGGAGCACTGCTTTTCCTACACTTTATTCTGATGGACTCATGGTTTCCTAGCAGACAAACTGTACAACTGTAACAACATCCACCTTCTGTGGCATAACAATAACAATACTTTCTTCCAGTAGCCTGCTTTGACTATTATGCAGTTACTGGGTAAAGCACCAAGGTTACAGCTCTTAATGAAATCTACCTTTTCACCGTTTTGCTGCTGCCCTTCGTTTGCGTTAATTCCCCGAGGTTCCAGATGACATTTAAGAGCGATCGATAATGTGTCGAGCCCACACAGACTGAAAGCCACTGCACATCTCTGGGTGCGTCTGTTAATGGACGGGATCTGTCTGCTCTCATTGTGGGGTTTAGTGCCTAAAATGGAGACTAGAGAGAGACTTCTGTGTTTAAACCTTTCATCAGTGATAAAAGAAGTACTCAAATCCCTTAACCTAAGTCCAAGGAGCAATACCACAGTATAAAAATACTCTGTTACAAGTAAAAGTCCTGCATTCAAAATGTTACTTAAGTAAAACTACTAAAGTATTATAATCAAAACATACTTAAAGAACTAAAGTACTCATTTTGCAGAAAGGCACTTTTCACATGAATGTATATCATATTATTGTGTTGTAATGACTGATGCATTAGTGTGTACATCACATCTGATGTTGCAGCTGGTAAAGGTGGAGCTGGTTTTAGCCGGTTTATACAGTATGTCTATCATTTGAATTACTCCTGGGTAACTGCTGGAGATCAATAAAGTCTTATCAATATACTTTTTGTTATTTTATTAATCTGGTTCTAAAAAGCAACTAAGTTATAAAATAAATGTAGTGGGGTAAAAAATATTTGCCTCTAAGATGCAGTGAAGAAGAACAAATCCTTTTCATCATCTGTCCAGAATCATCAGCATCACTACAGTTAAAAGTCAGTTCACTGAGACAGAGTGAGAGGAGCCCTGAGCAACATCAAGCTCACTGTGGTGTCTTAGGAAACTGCTAATAACGCCAGACACACTTACACATTGACTTCTTGCTATACTAGCCCTGGGCGTTCACCCTCCTCTCTCCATCTCACAAATCGATTGCGCTCATCTCGGGGGGTGTTTTGTCAAGTCACTGTGACTTGGTGGAAATGGTCAGTCACGTGACAGCACCAAAAATGTCTCCATGCATAGGTCAAACACCAACACAGATGCTCCTTAGCTACACTTTGAGAACCCGAATCTTACTTTAATCTTACTGTACTTCAATCTCACTGCTTGGAATGTTACCCATGTCCTGTGTTAAGTACAAAACAGAACCAGCAGAGACAATTTCATCAGGAACCACAGCAGAATACTAACGTAATAAGCAGCAGATAAACTTCTGTGTTTCTAGCCTGTTTTTGCTGATGAGATGTTGTGTTACTATGGCAACCAGTATCACATGACAGCATGTGATTATACACACAAATCCAACCATGTACAGTATGCGACTGATCCCTCAGATGGAGAGTTTCAGTAGTAACGCCCAGATTTGACACAACAAATCAAATTTTTCTGCCATTTGCACATGGAAACAATCACTGCATGCATGAGTCAGATGCTACGACTCATCTAATTGTCTTTTTCAAACTCCACATTCAGTCAGATCTTCTTTCTTCCTGCCTCATTTAATAGAAACCGTTTACATAAAGCTTGCAGCCTTTCTCCTTCTCCTTCGGTTTGATTCCCTGCTTGTCCAGTCAACATGTCGAAGTGTCCTTGAGCAAGACACTGTACCCACAGTTGCTCCCAGTGATGTCACTGGTGTGTGAATGGGTGAATGGCCAAATAGTGTGAAAGCGCTTTGAGTGTGCTGTAAAGCATAGAAAGGTGCTATACAAATATAAGACCATTTACCATATCGGTCCCTTCTTCTGTCCTTTGTCTCCATGGCAACAGCCTAGAGGTGACAGTTTTATTGCTACCCGCTGAAAGCAACTACACTCCTGCACACACGCAGCAGGGTCTAAAGTAATGCTAATATGCTCAGAGTGTGAACAGCTGTATGCATGCACAAATACAAGGACTGCATCTGACCTACATCCACTGCAGCCCGGGCCAGCCAGCACCCTTCCTCCTGGAATAGCTGAGCACATCAGGTTTACATTAAACCCAAGAAGAAGGAGGAATGCATTTGTCTACTTTGTGTGAATCTGATAACACAACAGCCTGGATTTAGTACAAGGTTCCTACAGGGAGTGGGTCATTTATTCATGAGCTGGTCAATATCCTGCATCAGCAATCAGAGCAGCTGCCAGGTCAGAGATCGACAGGACGCCCTTCAGGAAATATATTGTGTACTCATACGCAGAAACATCTGATCTACTGAACCTGTGAAGACTTCATAGACTTCATTTAATAGAGGTCACATTGCTGATTTTGTTCACCATTGAATTCTACCTTTTCTCTGTCTTTTCAGTTTGTTTCTTATTTGGTTTCGACCACAGCTCTTTCTCACATTGATTAACAGACTTAACAGGTAAATTCAAAATGTATTTAAAACACAGCTTTCTTTTCTCTTGTTTTCAGTAGCAAATAACACAAACATGCCTTTCTTTGCATGATTCAAGGTTTTAGAATGCTTTGATTGTCTTTAAGCTTTTACAAATGATCACTGACCCACAGGGTTAAATATACTATTAGCATAAACATTTTTAAAGAATATCTGTTGCTTCTCTGGCGATATATTTGACCTTTGTTCCACACTGTTAAGTATCATCACTCTGAGATAATTCCTTCCAGATGTTACATATATTCAGCATCATTTACTGTTTTACCCATTTCCCTTCACCTGCCTCTCCTTCAGTTACCCTGGGTTACAACCTCCTTCTTTCCCCAGCCCCCAGAGGGTGGGTGTGGACATGTTGCATTCTGTGGTGTGTATGTGCAGACGGTGACAGCATAGTAAGAGCAAAGACAGGTGTCCCTCAGGAGAGAAGAGGCATCTTGCAGCTGCATTGCATTCTGGTTTATCTTCGGCAGGAGAGAAAAGGCATCTTGCAGCTGCATTGCATTCTGGTTTATCTTCGGCTGCAGCAAGTGCAAAAACAGGAATTTCTTCCTCAAAATCTAACGTTTATCACAGATTCTTTGCGTCACTGAATTATGTTCTTGTATCATAATGTGTGAATGTGATGTCATTTCAAACACACATTTTAAACAGATGTTTCTTTTGATCACCACCTTCATCCTGGTCCTAAAACCAACACTACTCTCATCATGATCTTAAGCCTAAACCCTATAATCTAGAACCTGCCTCTAACAAATGAAGAACCAAAAATAAATGTTCTCCTGTGTTCTCATGCATATACAAAAACATGAGTCAAACTAAGGCTACATATTCATTTTCTCTCTCTCTCCTCATATGCACACAATTAGTGAGTCACTACTACTGAATACTGAGCTACTGACATGATCAACTACTGCAAACCATCACAAACACCCTGGACTACAGCAGGCTGCTCAACACACATCTGCAGTGCTCACAGAGTCAGAATGGCTCCATCACACCTTCCACACCGCTCTGCTTAGACACTGTCTTTATATAGGAACACTCATTACTCATGCATTATTCACAGGTCTTGGAGGTGCAAAGACAGCCAGAAGTCATGTCAGTCGCTCAGCTGTTCTAAAACACTTGGTTAAAAAAACATCTGGAACCTTAAAACCCTCCCCATGAATGTGGGCCACATCACTAACTATAAAGCAGGACGAGCACTTGCCTGTCCCTCCATCTTCGTGACGCAGAATGCAGAGGAGCGGATGCCGTCAGGTGCTGGTTAAAGGCTTTGCAGGTTCCGCCTGCCGGGGCTCAAAGCTGTGGAAAAATGAACGAACCTCATTAGGCGCTGTCCGTGGTACTAGCCTGCAATATCGGGCAGGACACGGCCGCTTCGCTTTCCCCTCTGAGAATCAGCCACTAATCGTGGATAGCATGCACTTTACTCTGCATCTCTTAGGGCATAACGTACTGAAAATATAATCAGAGATGATTTTTAGGCTAAGTTGTGCTTGTGCCTGAATCTCGGTCAAACAAGCAATGGCTTGTCCAAAGACAAAAACGACCCCCAGTCCGTGCACCAGCTGCACACAAATCGGATAATAAGCGGACACTCACCTGTCGTGACTACCGGGTAGCAGTGCCTCCCTCCCTTCCTCCAATACTTCGTTTCATACAGGAGCTGCGAGTAGAGACGCACGTAACAGCACCCAGTTGTTTTCTATTTTTTTATTCAGTACTCCATCGGCCTATGAAAAACGGGAATGCTGGGATGTCGTGCCTCTGCTCCGCCCTCCGCTTTTACGTCCTGTGCTTATCACGCATCCCATGAGGATACACGATCTGCGTGAAGTTGGCCCCCCCATCCAACAACTTCACGCAGATGGCGACACGGCGTCCATGTCTTATTATGGTTGCAGCCGTTATTCATTTAGTCAGTTCTACTGGCGAAAGCATGGGCGCATGCGTAGAAAGGGGTCCCTGAGGGTCGTGAGGTGATGACTATGAGCCCTCCCCTCTCCCGCTTAGCCGTCCTCCCTGCCCTCCCATGATGCCTCTCGCTGGCGACCTTGACAGCATCCTCAGGGTGACTGATGATGGGCTGTGGATGCTGATGCAACATGGTCCGTTACCAGGACAACAGGTCCTGCTTACAGCCCATGCTCAAGTTGCACAAATGAATATTTTTCAATCCTTCTTCTGAAAGTGGAGACAAAGATTACAGTTACACACGAGGCAACTTTCTGTAAAACCAGATATAGCCGAGCAATGTTAAATAATACACACACTGTAGTTCCCTCAGCCAGCTGACTGTATGTCACTGAGCTCTGATGCTACTGCTA